CCTAATATTTCCTTTATATTTTTAAGTGCAAATTCTACGCATTTTTTAGGCCAAAAAAATTCATTGGCGAAATATTTATTGAAATGAAAATTCATTGGCATTAAAATGGAAAAACAGATGACAGAAATCTAAGTTCAGTGCTAAAAGGATGCTTTCCGAAATTACTAGAACAACTTTTAACTGATTTATCTGAAAATGTTGAGTCCAATCTTAAAGTAGGGTTTCAAAAAGCTGTAATTCATGCCGTTAACCGTGATCAAGTACTATCAAGACTGCCTAGTGAGGAAGTTACAGTATTTACATGGATATTTTTTCTTCATTGGCAATGCTGGATGAACTGAAGACATTAGGGCATGATGCAACAGACACTATAAGAGCTTACAGAGTAGAAAATGCGCCATTGAAAGATATAAAATAGATGAAAAAGGCGAAAAGTGTTCATATTACCAATGTACGGATGTGTTATCTGATATAACTTTAGTTCTTGTTATTGTTACGGTTGCGTCTGCGCAGTGTGGCGTACAAAATAGGAAAAGTCAAGCGCTTTACCGATAAACAAAAAAAGGATGTAGAGCAACCAAGGTGTTTCATAAATTCTAACATATACATGGGTGGCGTCGATTGCCAAATTAAAATGTAGGATACTATCGAGTATCTATAAAGCTGAAGAGGTGGTACTGGCAATTATTTATGTTTCCTATCAATGCTTATGTGAACAATGCCTTTCAATTATCAAAAAATGGCAACAGTTATAATCTATTATAATTTACCAGGTACATTGTAACTACTTACTTTCTCATGAAAGAGGTCTCCGACGTCATCTCCATTGATAACCTTTCAGTACCCAGATCATCACTGGCTGTGATAAAACGGATTCCTGACTCTATAACGCTAGATAGAAAAGCTTATCCCATTGTCAAGCAGGGTAAATCAATCCTGTGTATATTCCTACTGATGGATTAGTCGATTGGTTACAAAACTCGATAAATAAAAAAGTTTTAAGTATCAATTTACGAGTATTTTGATATTCCTAATAAGGTGCAAGGATAAAATTTTCATCAAAATCGATAACCCATTACTTTCCAAGCATCGAAAACATTGGAATTTTTTGATCAAATCTTGCATTTAAGTTCATAATATAGGCTTATAGAAATAGTATGAAGGAAAAAAAAATATTAACTACCTTTCATGCTGACTCAGCCTGCTCTATAAATATGACAGTGGGGACATGTGGTCGTAAATAATGAAAACATTAACAATTACCGTCAAATGAGGTGAAAAAGATAGGGTTCAGATCTTTTTGTCCTTGTTTTCAAAATATTGTAAAATTTTTATCCAACTCTTCAAGTATGTATCTGTAGAATCTTAACGAAATATATTCTTGTCCATTTGAATATGTTCAGAAATTGAAAGCAAATCTATAAAACATGTGATTTCTATTTACCTTCTATTAGGGGACAATAGATCCGCCTAAGGGGAGAAAAAAAATAAGGTTGTCTCATGGAAAATTGCCTTAATTTATTTATAGTTTAAGTTAAGGTAAGCATAATAATAAAACTTCGAGCATAAAACAAAACAACTTCTGAATTAACTTATTCAAATTTTTTATTAAAAATAAAAGTCGCAGACAAAACAAAAAGCTACCCACTTTCCAAAATATTAAGCAAGATTTAGAAGTACGCAATTTAGTAAATAAGGAAAACATATTGGCTTTAGAAGAATTATGTGGACCTAAAGACTTTCTCAAAAGGCAAATAAATAAAGTGAAAAGTCATGCTTTAGAAAAACAATATTCGGAAGAACTTAGAAAATTTACTTTAACAGTTCAATTTTTTTCACCAAAAGCTTATTCGCTCGACTTGTCAAGTACCAAAACGTTAACGCTGAACCCGGATTTTGTCAAGGAGCTTTTGAAACCCTCGAAGCGAAAGCTCAATTAACAGGTACAATAGTCTATGCTTTAGTGTTAGATAAAATGGCTATTAGGAAATCACTCTGCTGGGACGTTCAATCAAAAACATACTAATGGAAGAGTCAATTTCAGGACCAATTGTGACAGTGATTCATTAGAAGTAGTAAACAAATGCCTTGTGCTTTAATTAAATTGCGTTAATAGGAGTTGGAAGCTTCCAGTCGGTAATATTTTTTTACAACATTGACTGGAGAACAAAAGTCGTTATTAGTAAAGACTTATGTGGAGAAATATGAACAAATAGGTGTTAAAGTAGCCAATGTGACTTGCGATGGACCTGCGGCTAACTTTGGAATGTTTTCTACTTTGGGTTGCCAATTATTAAAAAATCAGGATGTGACAAATTTCAAATGCAGTCAAAGCAATTTATTTGCTTTTATTAATGCTTGCCATGCAATTAAGCTAATTATCGTAATAATGCATTTGGAGAATTAACAGTTTTTGTTCATAAAAACAATAGGTAAATTGACTTCGTATTTTTAGAGCGACTTTTACATGTCTAAAGGACTCCACATGGCAACTTAATTAACAAAGGCCATAGATTTTTCGCTTAATAGAAAATGAAAGTGCATTTAACCATTCAGTACTAAGTAATTCAGTGGCAGATATATAGCAATTTTGCAGAACTAAATTAAAATGATAAGACATTAAAGATTCAGAAGGAACCGAGACTTTTATAAAAAAAAGATAGACATTTTAAATATAATGAAATTTCTACCTCTTTACAAAGTTAGCCAAGACCATGTGGAATTATTTTTGTTTGCCATTAGAGCTCGTGTTGGATTTAACAACAATCAAAACGCAGTACAATTGAAGGCAGCTTTGAAAAAAATATGAGTAAGGGCTGAAATAAGAGATGGAGCTGTAGGTAAATGCATTTTACTAGAACAGGTCTACATATTAAATTGTACGAATAATAATGATCCACTATCATCTATTAATGATTTAACGGACAAAAAAATCATTTGTGATATCCCGGATGATCACAGCGAGCTATACGAAAAGTTTGTAAAACATTATCCTACAGTGATACTGAGGACTTGTTAAAGAGTTGTATGTAAACAGACATATAGTGATTCATCGCAGTTTGTATAAAAGAAATACACAAAAACATAACATATAATACAAATACACACAAACTTACACTCATATACACATACTCATACTTTCATATACACTAACATTCTACACACACAGTAGTAATGATAAGAATGCATGCTATTTAATTCTAAACTTGAATTATATAAATACGTCGAGAGGAACGTTGTTCTTTATACAATGAAGGTGGGCGTTTGTGGCTGCAACTCAGTTTTTAAACTAAAGCGGCTGCTTTCGTACACGATAATATCTGTAAAGTGTAAAGTTCCAATAAAAAATATTATTATATTATTATTATTATGTACAATGACGACTTGGGGGCTCGTATAAATATAAGACTACATATATTATTTGTTGAATGCTTGAATAACAACCTTTCGGAATTTTGAGAAAGTATTGTCACGTACATAGCTAGCTTCGTAAGTCAAAAATTGTGGAAATTAAAATGTGAAATATGCATAACCAGGGATCGGAAACGTTTTTCAAAACCAGGGATCGGAAACGTTTTAAAAACGTTTCTTATCATTCTTTAGGCAAGATTGCGTTCGAAACGAAAACGAAATGAACGCTTTAAAAAACCAGTCTTCGTAGTTAAGACTGTGGTGCACATCTGGGCACATATTGCACTAACGATGTTTACTTCGAACTTGCTCAGCAGAGAATGAATAGGTTTTGTAGTTTTCTTTGTTTTTATAAGTAACATGTTTACTCTTGATCGGTGTAAACCACAATTGTCAACTCCCATTACGTTATTTGCTTTAAATAACAGCTCCGTGACGTTTAATGAAGCTCCTGAATGTTGATGAGTACAGTGACTAAACATAGACACAGCCGTTATCAGTTCAGCACGTACCGGATAAGTAGTTAAGTAGGCCGTAAAACTATTTGCCTCGGTTTTGTTATTGATTAGTAAGAAATTGAACGTTATATATCAATTATGTAGATATTAAGCCATTAACTCAGACATTACCTTGAAAAATAAACATATTTTATGTTCTATCTAAGTATTATTGCTCTTTTATCTACGGCGAACAATTGATCAACTTTGGATAGTGCTTTTTATTAATTTATCAAGAATTAGTTAGCATATTAATGAGCGCTATTAGAAATGGTGCTACTTAGGTAACCATTACGATTAAGTTATTTATATTTCAGTGATTAAGAATGTTTGTGTTATTCTCAGTTCCCGGCAAAATCGTAACTTTTTTACTTCTAGTTTTTCTTTTGAAATAGACTGTGGCCTCATAACATATCAAATGAGAATCTCAAAGTCTATTTTAAGAGTAAATTTTATTAATTTAGTGGGTTGGTGTTTTGGTAGAACTGGGACTGATATGTTACTTGAAGTCATGACACCTCTTATTGATAAGAAGGAATATTATTTTGAAATTGGTAGCGATAAGAATTGATGAAGTACATAAAATGCCTAATATGGTTTTTTATTTAAGTCCTGTCAGGTATATGAAAATTACATGGAGTATTTATTTATTTATCTATTTATTTATTCCATAGCTAAACTACGTAAAACATGATATTTTTAACAAGAGATCATGGCACAACAATAAGTTATAGACAATTCAACTAATCCTAATCTAAACAATAGCTTATCTGACTATTTACCTGACTAAATTATTTACTTGTCTAAGAAACGTAATGGCCTTTTAAATAGAAGATGGTCCAGACGAAATTTTCACTTCTACTGAATCAACGTACAGCTTCAGAACGTCGTAACAAAATATATATTGCCAAACGTTTAACAAACTGCGGTACCTTCGTGTACGTATATAACCAAATATTGATGCTATGGAAACCTTTTGTTCGATTTCAAATTTAGCGATGCTTATGTCCACCACACAGAAGCAATGGGTTCTTCCAAGCCCCGCGTTGCAATGGACGACCATCGGAGGTGCCTGGGAATATTGATAGCCATTCACTCCACATAAAGCTCTTCTTGAAATCGCCTCATTTCCAACACAAATTGTAAAAACTCTGTAGTATCTGAGGGCACATCGTGATCTGGCCACGCAATGAAATTGATATGCGTCACTTTCTGGACGGCTTCTGTCCCGTCTGTGATATGCAAGGTTGTTTTCACGTAACTGGAGAACCGCTCAACCTTGGCCGTAGTTACTTGGAACTTTTGGAACTTGAGTGATTGCTGCTCCTCCACATGCCAGTAAGGATAGAATTTTTCTTTTCCGTTTTCTTTCTTCTGGCGGAGCATGACGACTACCTGGACGTGCTCCATCCACAGCATTCTTTAGAAGTTGTAGCACGTCCGCTGAATAGGGGCCTCTGTACAAATGAATCTTTTTGGACATTGGAAGCCATCTACGTAGTTTGCGTTTATGTAGTTACCCCACTTTTTCTCTGAGACAGGATCACTCTGGAGTGATCGAAACATACCTTATGAATGTATTGGTTCAAACCAGGGTTACTATTGTTGGCTTCGAATGATCCTTCAACTTCTTTGTTCAGTATCTGCTGATGTTCTTCCGCAATTATTTCTTCGCGATCGCTGCGTGCCATCAGCGCAACAAAATCCGAGTGCTTCAGATCCTTGAACTCGGTATCCACAGTGGTTATCAGTAATAAAGGTAATTTGAATAAATGAATATTATATAATTATTTCAGTCTTCAGTGGTTAAATATTGATCGAGGACTGATGGCTTAGTCACTTAACGATGCCTTAAATAGGAATTTTCTGAAAAGTTACACATTTATATGTGCTGATATGATCTACTATTATTCAAATTATATGTCGGATTATCCTCTATATTAACCGCAGGATTTTGATAATATGTGTAAGTGATGACGTACATATGTATATATATATATATATTCTATTCAAATAATTCTAATTGGTGCTAACTGTACTGATAACATTGAATTAAAATGTTGTATGAGTCAGCTTATATAAGATTATGTAAGATTATCCTCCATAAACCACATTTTACCGAATATCCAGTGTGTGTTGTATTTTATAACATATATGTATTTTAATTAAATAATTTTCCTTTTTGCTAATTGCACTAATAACATTAAATTCTAATGTGTTATGGGCCTTTTTATACGGAAAATTTTCTGCATACGCGCTACGTGACAAATATAAAATCAATGCCACATAGATTAACTAGAATATAGAAAATATTTGGTTAGTACTTTCGTTCAAAGACTCTCCTATCGTTGAAACCTACTGTGATATCTTTACATTTTTATTCGGTAACAATTCTGGATAATGAAATTCCGATTACTAAGAGCTAATGATACACTTTGAACTCTTGCCAATCCAACCAAAACAAGTTCATTTATTCTAATAGCTTCTGTGTAAAAGGGGATTCTCTTTATGGATAAATGGTTTTTAATAATGCATATATAAAATAACAGGAATAAAAAAATGTGAGCCTAATGATACGAGGGTCAAACTGAAAGTTCTTAGAACTGGCCACTTATAAACAATATAATAAAAAAATAATTCTAAAATTTGAAAATATAACTCTTTGCCAATATTACTGAGTATATATTTCATTCATTTGTCATTTGTTTTACGATTTGGCGGCAAATTGAAAATTGTCTGTGTCACGTCATCATGAATTTAACACGAGAAAATTTTCGTGCAATGATTTTTTATGACTTTCGATGTCATTTAAGTCAACAAGAAAGTTATGATAGATTACGATTGGCCTTTCACGATGAAGCCCCATCTCGTGCGACTGTTTACAACTGGTTTAATGAGTTTAAACGTGGTCGCACTAATCTCACTGATGATTTACGTGAGGGACGGCCTTCTACGGCGACGACTGAAGATAACATCTGTGTTGTGCGGCGTATGATAGAGACTGACAAAAGAGTGACCTATCAACAGATTCGGACAAGCTTAGGCATCGGTATGAGTCAAGTGCACAAAATCCTCCACGAACATTTAGCGGTCAGGAAGCTTTGCGCCCGGTGGATACCTCATAATTTGACTGAGGCTCAAAAACTCCATCGTGTGGATTGGTGTCGTAAAATGATTGAAAGATTTAACGGAGGTAACTCAAATGCTGTGTTCGACATACTAACAGGTGACGAAAGCTGGATTTACTGTTATGATCCTAAAACCAAAAGACAATCTGCTCAGTGGGTGTTTCCTTTCGAGGAGTTGCCAACTAAAGTGAAGAGAGATCGAAGTGCGGGAAAAAAAATGGTGGCCTCGTTCTTTGGAAGGATAGGTCATTTTGCAACAATTGTGTTAGAGGATCAAAAAACAGTTTCTGCAGAATGGTACACTACCAATTGTTTGCCACTTGTCTTGGAAAAAGTTCGAGAGAAACGACCTCGCAGTAGGATCCTCCTTCACCACGACAACGCCTCGTCGCACACCGCCAAGCGAACGATCGACTATTTGGCGACATCAAACGTTGAATTACTGGGTCACCCGCCGTATAGCCCCGACCTCGCGCCTTGTGATTTTTATTTATTTCCAAAAATTAAAGAAAAACTTAAAGGAAAGCGGTTTATGAATGCTGAAGAAGCGGTGGCTGCGTATCGCGATGCCATTGAAGAGACCCCTAAGGACGAGTGGGCAAAGTGCTTTTCCCAGTGGTTCCATCGCATGCAGCGGTGTATTGACGTGAATGGACAATATTTTGAAAAGATATAATAAAACTAATAACTGGCTAATATAATCAGTTTTTGATTTTCTAAGAACTTTCAGTTTGACCCTCGTATGTATCTATAAAGATTCATACCGCATTAACCCGGCTTCGATCATTTAATTAATATTAGGCCAGCGAATATATTAACGCGAACGTCATTGTTAAGGCGACTATTTCTTGTAGGATTGTATTTCAAATTTTGCTATGCGTACGATAAAGAACTCATTGAATTTTGGAAACACAGCGATAAGCCAGTAAAGAGATATTGAACTTTTTTTGTATGAATCTTGTAAGAAGTGGCTGTTTTTATTGCATGACTTGAGATACGTTTTATTCGCACCTGTTTTATTTTACAAAAAACGCTGTTCAGATTTTGATAATAAAACCTCAGAAAATAAAAAAATCTGATTCTGCATTTTACATTTGATTTTTGTGCTATCAATAATACTATCCCTTAAGTTATATCAACTTTAATTATCATTTTAGTATCGTGTTGCGTGTTCATACTTATGGTCACTTCAAAGTTCTTTCAGTAATTACACGATAAACTATCAAGTGACCTAAAGACATTGGGAAATCTATTGCGTAATAGCAAGTTGATTTAATGATAATGTTTTCAATAATTGGTTCCTATAATTACCTCTGGTTCTTACATCTGGTGTTACTCGTGTCCCCGATTTGCCCGGGGTAATGTAAGATAGCCTTTCGAAAAAATCATTAAAGGTGGAATCTGCAATCTAGGAAGATAGACTGATCAAAATGTTGAGCTTCAGGAATTCATTGGGAGATAATTTCTTTCACGAGGCACGTAAACACAGCTGGCTAAGTCTTCTCGATAGAGTCGCACAGTCCCTGGATGATAAAATTCCAGAGATTTTAACGATAAAAAACTTCAACAGTGATCAGTGTACTCATCATCATCATCATCATCATCAGCCCATATTCGTCCACTGCTGGTCAAAGGCCTCCCCAATTGCACGCCATCTACTTCGATTTTCGGCTGTTCGCATCCAGCTCCTGCCAGCCATCTTGCGCAAATCATCGCTCCACCGCGCCTGAGGACGTCCTACACTACGTTTGCCGAGACGCGGTCTCCACTCAAGAACTCGTTTACCCCAACGGTTATCGGTTCTGCGGCTAATATGGCCAGCCCACTGCCACTTCAGCTTGCTAATCCGGTGGGCTATGCCGATAACCTTGGTTCTCTGCCGGATCACCTCATTTTTGATTCGATCCCGCAGAGAAACGCCGAGCATAGCGTTTTCCATAGCCCGCTGAGCGACCTTCAACTTGTGGACCAACCGTGCCGTCAGTGTCCACGTTTCGGCTCCGTATGTCATAACGGGTAGGACGCACTGATTAAAGACTTTCGTCTTTAGGCACTGCGGGATCGACGATGTGAAGACCTGACGTAGTTTCCCAAACGCTGCCCAACCTAGCCGAACTCTTCTATTTACCTCGCTCTCGAAGTTGTTTCTACCTAACTGCAATGTTTGCCCGAGGTATACATATTTTGGAACAATTTCGAGAACGGCATCGCATACTGCAATCGGTTCCGGTAGTACGTGTTCGTTGAACATGACCTTGGTTTTATCCAAGTTCATCCGTAGGCCGATGGGCATAGAAGAGTCAGCCAGGTCATTCAGCATCTGTTGTCTGAGTGTACTCACATAATTGTAAACTACGGAGAAAAATATGCGAAAGAAATGAGAGAAATTGTTGTGGGTCTGGGAGCCGACATCAACGGCCAAGAAGGATGCGGCGGGTTGACTCCATTGCACTTGTGTGTCGAGAAGAATAATTACAAGCTCGCAAGCTGGCTATGTGAGAAACGGAAAACCTATTAGGAAGCCAAAGCCTATGCAAAAAAGACAGCTTATTCATATGGCTTATGAGAAAAAAGACAATAAAATGTTGAAGATTTTGGAAAAGGCTGGAGCCAAGTGTGATCCACCTAGTGAAAGTCAGTGAATAAGTTCTGAAATGATTTCGAAAAGTTAAATTTACGGCTAAGGTTTTGTTTAGAAGAAAGTAATTCTAAGTTTATAGAATTTAAATATGAGATGCATGTTAACGTTTCCCTCAGTTTAATGTTTTGGATAACTGAGTATAGAATAAGTGAAAGTAAATATGAGTAGTTTAAGTTATTTTTTATTGTACTAAAAAGCAGCTCCTTGAGATAACGTTCTAGATTTTACCTACATAATAACTCAACTATTTTTCATGCGCGAGTTTAAAAATAAAAGCATTTTTATTTGTTCACCAATCCCTCATTAGCCTCATTAGCATTAGGAAAGGTTAGAATTGAATAACAAGCCTATTTTTAAAGTCTCATTCTGTATAGCCATGATTGCCATCCTGTTGGCTTTCCTTTTCAGGTGCTGATACCACGCATTAACCAGAATATTTTTGGTACATTTAGGGCAATACTTTATCGCTTCCAAAAAGTCTTCCTTATTCATCGACAAAAAAACTGTAATGAAAAAAATAAAATCAGTGGAGGTAAAGAATACATTGGCTAGATTTAAAGATTTTTGTATGGCATATGCAGTCGAGGTGTGTTTACCAGCTTATATAGAAATATCGTCAAAATTATATTTGTTTCTGTCTATGTTAAATGTTAATGAAGTGTCATCTGCAAACAACACGATCTCACATACGTTTTTTACAAAAAATGGTAAATCATTTATATATATTAAAAATAGAAATGGGCCTAAGATAAAACCTTGGGGAACGCCTATATTTACATGAGACCCCGACGACTTCGCACCGTTTATATCTACCGTTTGTGTACTGGAACTAAGATACGACAGCATTAGTTTTTGAGCTGCACCTTTAATACCGTAGTAATGCAGTTTAAACGACAGTGTCTGATGCTCAACACAATCGAAG